TGATCAACATGGAGACATTATTCCCTTGTGCAAGATGGGTGAGTTTTCCTTACCCCAAAGTTTGCACTCTTTTGTATAACTTACTTTTTGGTACAGTATATTTACAGGACACCTTTTGTTCCCTTCAGCTGGCCATAATTTATTTGAAAGATTTGAAAAGTCAGCTCTTTATTTAAACTCACCCGATGTGCACAGGTGTGATTCAGGTGAGGAAAAACAGAAACATGGTGTTCAACAAAAGCTCCAGGCCAGATTTAGAGATGAACAAGCAGAATGAAAATGCACAGTTACAGAGTGAGGTTAAAATGTTTCACAGGTTGACAATGACTGACCTTTGCTGATGTTCTTGTTCCTCACGTCTCCTAGGGGACAGTTTGCACAAAGTGGTCATGGTCAAAGAGGGGCTCATAAAGTATCAGGTCAGACCATCTTTAAGACAAGCTTCACTTTTTATACCCACCACCTGCATGGCTCATATGTCACTGTTTTGTAACTAAGGCCTCCAGAGAGCACTGATCAGGCGAACACTTAAAATTTTACATTTTTGGTCTCCAGCAAGCATATGCCAGTGTGTGTTTGTGCTCATGTTGTTTGTGTGCTTAAGTTTCCCCTGATTTGGTTTGCATCAGAAGTCCCGCCTAATCATTTTGCAGCTGGAGCTGCTCACAACAGATGAACATGGGGCTCATAAAATAGAAGCTGCAAAAACAGATGTCCTCATGAATTAGTGAGGCATCCATGAAAAATTAACAGATGACCTAGGACATGAAGCCAGGGGGCTTCTGCTCATTTAATTCCTCCTCCAACATGCAATATGCTGCCTCCAGTCATTGTTTTCACCGTGTGTCCCCGTCCAGCTGCAGCAGGCCTCTTTTTAGAAGTGGCAAATTAATAGTGACGGAAATGCGTCTGTCGAATAAATAACAACATGCACTCTGAGAGAGTTGGCTCTGTCACAATGGCTCAAAAAGATGATGTTTGCCACTAAAAAAACGAGTATTACCTCTTTCTGAGATGTCTCTGGAGTTTGTTTTGAAAGAGGGGTTTGCTTTACTCCTTAGTGATGCGCAAACAGCAAACTTTGGTATCAAAAAAATGGAGCTAATGCAGAAGTGCACACAGCTGCAGTTCCAAAATTGTCCACCTGAGGCTGTCTCTTAAAGCTAATGAAACTGTTAGAGCCAACATGAACACGTCTAGTTTACACCAAAATTAACAGGCACAGTTATCGGACATCCATTGGGGGTGGGGTTAAGAAGACATGTAGGGTCTTTGTAGAGGGAATGGTAACACTCGAATGGTCCAAAAAGAGGTAAGGAATGATCCAAACCCCATCAATGTTTGAGTATTGGCCATGATGGTAGCTATTCCAATCCTTCGAGTGATAAGGAAAGCCATGAAGCCTCCTTACTCCTCAGTCCTTTATTCCTTCAGGTGCGTGTGATGAATTAGAAGATCTTTCAGTGGACTGTTGCAATAGTCATTGTTGCAACAGTTGCTGGTTCAACCCCTGACCATGACTCTCTGCTGCTCATCTTCCCTCACTTTTTATTTGCTATTTGTATTAGCTTTTTTTTTTTTTTTTAATTCCCAGGTCATGCAAGGAGAGAGGATTTGAAGGGTGAAGAGCTCTGCCTGGCTGCATAAGTGGGGTTTACCAACGCCATGTGAGGAAAAGTGTATTTACATGTCCTGTCTGCACTCTGACTGCTGCAGCGATTTGTCTCTGTAGATGGACACACACCACATCTGGACAGGAGGAGTGCAGCTAGGTGGACGCAGACAAGACACGACAAAGGACAGGCAGGATTTTGGACAGCCATTGGTTAAAGAACGGGCTCTTGAAGTACAAGCTGTTCCTGGGGATTGCGTATCTGTGCCACATCATCTTTTCACAAATGAAAGACTTGATACACTCTGGTTTTGGTAGCTACTGTCTTTGACCACATCCCTCTTTGATGGCTCCTCTGTCCACTGTGAGCTCCAGCCACAAACACCTGATTCAAAGCCATGTGCGCCTTACCAAAGACACTATAAGACGCACATTTTAATGTAAAATTCTTTTTTTGGAGCAATAAATGGTAAATTTCTGGTTGCAGCAGCATATTTAAGGTATATAATGCTGCAATGACGAAGATGATGAGAGCTGCAGTAATAGGATGAACCCTTGGAGGAAAGGTTGCTCATTTCTTCAATGTATTAATTCTCCATTTTAGACTATCCACTGGAAGACGGCGCTCCAGGCGAGAGGAGAGAGAGAACTCAAAAGTGTTGTCACAACACATTTCAGCCCTGCAGGCTAAAAGCCTTGTTTTGAAGCCAAACTGCAGAGCTGCGGTACTAAATTTGGTGACGTGCTTACCTCTGCTCTTAATGTTTCTGGTGGGTGTCTGCTCCAATTAGAGGGTTTACTTCTTGTAATTGAATAGTGCATGTTTAGGGGCACAGGAGACAGTCAGAGGGCAGTTCTATTTTGATAGACTCATAAAGTTTCAGGGAATAATGCTAAGAAACTTAACACTCCCCCTGAGCATGAAATATGAAATCTATGCTTACTTGTGTCAGATGCCACCCAGGCTCTTGGAGTTAAAATATACAGATCCTTTAAACAGATCATTCACACAGCTTTGGATTTAATGATGTGCAGACCTTTCACGTTGTCTCAGAAGTTTTAGATCCAGCTGAAAGAAATTTACTCCATTTAACAAAAAGATTTTTGGATTGGACAGTAGGACGGATTTGCAGTTTGCATCGTTGTTCATCTCTAAGGTGCTGTATGGAGTTGATGTCACTTAGTGATGGGAAGAACAGTTCTTTTGACTTTACTGAATCTTTAGAATCTGTTTATTAAAATTACTCGTTCAAAAGATTTGTTCACTGAATCAGTCAGTGCTTCAGACCCCCATCCTGCTGGGTGCAGTACGTGAGTGAGTCCCCTCCCCTGCTGCTGAAGTCACAGTGTCGTTCACTGGGTGACACGTGTCATTCATTCGCCAAGTTGTGAAGGAAGAATCACTCCCCTGCTGCCGATGTTTGCATCGCAATGAGAGTGAAACAACACAGCAGCAAGCAGCACACCCGCTAAATGAGCGCGAGTTGCCGTTCTTTTATATCGCGGAAAAGTGGAGATTAAAAATAAATAAACATCGCAGCTGTATAGGGGGATTCTGCTACTTTAAAGATATCAAATAGCATATTGCTTTAAATTGGCTGAAATTCAACCCTTCTTGCAGGAAAGTTTATAAACGTATATTAATGTAAAGGCACTATAATGCACTGTTTTATCTTAGCCTCACGAACCGGTGCTCTGCAGTTTTCTGAATGACACTACTTCCCTCCCTCCTCTGCCTGAATAAAGTCATTCAGGAATCATTCCCAGTCTGATTGATACACATCGTTCATTCGCCGTGAGCAAATCACAAGACTCCGTCAGTCTGCTGGCTGGCTGGCTTTGTGTCATTTGCCAAAGAGTCAAAGGCGTCGATTCCACTCCCGACTGGCATGCCACGCTTGTGGCTGAGCTCAACTGAACTGGGAAAGGAAAGAATCAGGTCTTGGAGTGATTCCATTCATGTCCTTCACTCAGAAGTTCTGTTCTTTTGAACAAAACGTTCATGAACAACACAACACTAATGTCAGTGGTGTGCAGGCTCATCACAACCTGAAAAAAAACCCTGGTTATCCTGAAACAGAAAGACAAGAGCACAAACATCTGAATCAACAGCACTGCATTTTCTAAAACGTCAACAATCTACAGTTTGTTCAATCTGGAACCTAAGAGGTGTTAACAGAAGTGTTAAAACATCCCCAGACTGGCAGATTATGGAATAATGCACGACGGTGTCTAATTTTGACTATTAAACCTGAAGTTTTTTTTTTTTATTCACGCAGATCATAAAAACCTGCAGCTGGGTTTATCAAGTGAACACAAAAAAGTTGATTAAAAAAGTAAGAGATGTCATCCAAACTTTTTATGTGACCCTTTCCAGTCCTCACCTCGCCGTGTGTTCATGTGTGACTCTGCAGGAAGATGAAGACAGCCTGACCTTTGAGGATTTCACAGTACTTTATTCGGAGCAGTTGCACCCGCCATGACGGCCGTGTCACACGCACCCACTCTTTCATTCGCCACGCACTGAGTCACGGTGTACTAGCAGTTTGACCTGTGATGACTTCACTTGATTTTCCTCTCTTCAGAGCATCATTTGGTCACGCTGCCCTCAGTGGTTTGATGATGTAGTGTTAGAAAAAAGTGGCCTGTATCATCATTAGTATCTGTCCAGACGCATTAACCCCGGGTCGTTAATTAGCTCATAAACGGACATTAGCCTCCGCATGTCCCTCGTCCTACAAAGGCCTGACAATAGCTGTTAATAGACTGACACTCTGATGACATTTCTTCATACTGTCACAGCTCTCTCACCAAGTCTTTGTGTTTCTGCACGCAGGGAGGATGACTAGCTTCAGCTGCACTGTCACAAACCTGAAAGTTGGCATCAAGTTTATAATGACCATTTACAGTATTTCTCATGAGACAGTAACTTGATTGGTTAAAGAGTTTGTTTGTTTTTTGTTTTTTAGAAAAATATATTTTAGATATTTCTTGCTTTTTTCTTAGCTGAGGAGATACCAGGACTCAAACCTGTGGCCACTGCAACAAGGACTTTATCCTCTTTTAACATGTGAACTGCAGGGCCCTGGTGTCCTTGTATTATTTTCAACTAAGTAAACATTATTTACATCTAAAAATCAGGACTGTTTCTTTACACTGATATCTCAGCCAGATTTGAAGACCAGGACTGTGAGGGACCAAGCAATCAGGCAAAGGACAAAGGTGTGGAAAAAGATCTTGTTCCTTTATTTACTTGAAAAAATAGATTAAATCATAACAAATGTTCAACTTAATTTGGTAGAAAAAAAAAGAAACAAAACCTGGGCCCATTCTAAAAGAGGTCAACTCAGCAAAAACAACTAATTCTACCACCTAACATAATCAAACAGACCTAACCAAAGTGAGACATGCTGGGGGTTTAAATAGACAAAGGACTAGTCCAACAGAAACACAAGGGGGAAACTAAATGTGACTCCAAACTAAACATTAAACAAACTAAGAAAAATAGCTTCAAATCATCAAAACAAACTATTTACAGAATAAACTAAATTGCCTTTACAAACTGAAAAGAACACAAACAGAAGATTGGAGATGAAATAAAAGTCCATGCTGCCCCTGTGTTCCCCCTCCATGGTCTCTCCCACTTCCTGTGGGCAGGGCTTAAAAGGCCATCTTGGATCAGCAGACAGCCCTTTGCCAGGAAACTCAAACAAAAGAAAACAGGAGGAAGTATAACTTGAGATTAAAGCATGATGTGGAAAATCAACCATGTGACAGTTTGTTAACTAGATTGTGTGCACCCAAGTTAGAAAACAACTAAAGTGAACAACAATTAAAGTGATTTTATTTCAACAGAAAGGTGTGTAATGTGCTCTTTTTAAACTACAAACAAAACTGGTGTTAAAACCCAAAGAAAAAGAAATACTAACACGAGGTAGTGGCAGTTTAGGCCACCACAAGGACCAAGTCCAGACATTCTTAGCAGCATTCAGAATTACACCTTCTGCTTCTGCTTTGACAAAGACAAACATCACATTAAAACAAGTCGACCTTTCTGAATCTGAGGACACCAATGGCTCACATACAGCTGCAGTCTGCATCGTGCACCATCCCGTCAAACACTGAACACTATCTAACCAAATTTAACCGGGAAACAAGAGGAACTGATCGTAAGGCCATCTTCTTGCAAAGTCTCAGATGATCTAAGACTGACTTTTAAGCAGTCGGCAACGATTAGCTCTCATAGGTTCCTACTCTAAAATTACATTTGACCTTAAGATATTTAATGAGATTTCCAGGTATGAAAGTTGTGCTATGTTCACCACACTGTTATAAATTACAGGAACAAAACTTGAATCTGTTAGCATTTGTAGCCATGCTAGGAATCTCTGGCTTTTTAAAAATTGGTTTTGGTGTGATAAACTTTTGAATGATCTGATAATAAGGCCTCTGACTTTTGTCAGGAGAATGGAATGAGGGCCAAAATCAGTACAATTATCAAGTGTTTATCCTGCTTTAATCACAGTTTGGCAGTGGAATAACCTTACCTCATCTGATTGATTAATTCTTATCTTTTTTCCACAGAGGGATGGAAACGTCACTTGGCTCACTCTCAGATATGACAGCTGTGACTTCTGTCAGAACCACCACAGCAGACCTCACATAAGAAATAGAGGCACAGCAGCAAGGGGCCAAACGACCACTAAACAACTCAAAAAACGGTTTATTTAGCTACAACCACAGTCTGAAAATACAGCTTTGGCTTTTGGGAGACAACACTGTACACCACTAACAAGTCATTTATCAAGTGGCAAATAATTTGTTGTACAAACATATTTTCTCATTAGCTTCTTCTGTCTCATTTCTCCTGAGACTAAAACCATGTTCATCGGTCAATCAATCAATTTCTGTCCAATGTTGAAGCCGTCACATGATTTAGTGTCTAATATTGTTAGAGGAACTAGAGGGACTGTATGTCTCTACGCTAAGTAATTTATAACCATCATCATACGAAGCTCTGCAGAGTTCAGCCTCTCTTACTACAGGTTTAATAACTTAGAAAAACTCCATTGTCACAGACTCACAAATTTCCATGAAGACAATGCTCTCTTACTGGAGGTAATTTGTTCAGTTTATGCATCCATAATGTTGCTTATTAGAAGTGCAGCTCTTTGTCAGTGATGTATTATTGAAATCTGGCTTTTATTTGCCTGACGAGTTATTGCTGCTTAAATCTTTATTAGCCGTCTGCCGTCATCTTCGCATCCAGATTGCGTTTCAGTTGAGGGATTGGAAATAATTCCCAGGCCATTATGGATTTATTTATAGACACCCATTGGTTATCATGCACATAGCCAAAAATTGCAAGCACAGCCGCAAGATTGTACACTTTTTTATTATCTTGCATTAGTCAGATTAAGTGTTTTCAACGCCTCATGGATTGAGCTGTTGTTACTATTGATTTGTTTCTGAAATAACATTTTAAATATCTCTGTTATAGCACAGTTTGTCCATTTCAGCCTCCAGCTGCAGCCTCACAGAGGGAGCTGCTCTGACCTCTGACATTACAGCCCTGCTCAGCAGTGTCATTTTCACTGAAACTGACAAACAAGGACAGACGCAACATGATTTTTCATGAGAGACAGAGACCATGTTATATATTTGCTTTCTTAAATGTAGGACTGTGGTTTCTCATCAAGGTCAGCTGGATACAGCATTCCATCGCTTACACATGAGGTGGACAAATTATTTCCATTAAAAGAGGAGCAAACAGCCTCAATATACAGAGTTCAGTGGTAAAAAAACAAACAAAAAAACAAAACAAAAAAAAGGTAGTTTCTTTCCTTTGCACACTACTGTCTATATCTCTCATCAATACTACACTGCATTAATCTGATTGTTTGTAGGTTTGGAAAACTACTTACGCTGAGCGTACACTGTGTTATTTGAAACTGTTTCTGACCTGGTTCATGAGTTGTAGGACTGCTCTAGAAGTCAGGACAACTTCATTCCTGATCTTTTCCCATTCAGCGTCACAAGAACCCGATCAGCTGTTCCTCACTGGCCGGATGGAATTCTGACATGTCAGAAAATTTTGTTGGCTGACTGCAGAGAAAGAGCAAACCTATGACCTGATTTATTAATTTCAGAACTTTCCTGACTGCACCTGAAAGCACCATGACACCATGACCTGTGATGTTGACAACAGTAATTCACATAAACACTCCGCATCAACAACATTGTAAGTGTCTGGTTGCATGTCGCTCATGATTCACTCATACAGCTTTTCTTCGCCCTCCACCACGACTCATAAAACAATCAAACAGGGTAAGACTGGCCCTCGTATGCAACCTTTGCTAACCCTCATGTTTGAATTTTTTTTTTGGGATACGTACAGTATGTCTCACAAAACTTGCAGACAAAAAAACATTGGATGCCCAAAGTGAAAATTATAAAGAAAATTCAAGTCCACACATAAAAATGCTGAAAGTATTTCTTCTTTTCTCTAACAACAGATTTGGAGGAGTGATGGACTCTGAATCAACTCAGAGAAAGAGCTGGGTTGTGAATCGGTGAGATGAGACTCACTGACAGATTCACAACAACAGCACACCCACAGTCATCCTGTGAAACTGTGTCATTGTCAAAAGAAGAAAAACTATAACACTGACGCAATTAACTTCCTGTTGTAACATTAGCTATTATTGAACGGAGTGGCTCGACAGCTTTGACTCATTACAAACTGTCAGAATCACAACTATTTCTGTCCTTTCAGGGCTGCATTTTCTTGGTGCTGTAAGAGTCAATTAACCCTTAGAAAGTCTACTAAACATTCTTTAGATGTTCACGACAGGTCGCTAAGCTGTTAACAACTTTCTAATAAGAAGCTGCAAGTGACTAGTGGGTAAAACTAAATATGTTGATTATACTTTATTAACACTCGTCACTTGTAAGTGTTTTTAAGCACCAAATAGGGTTTAATAAGTGGCTTATGAATTCATACTTATTACAAGGACCTTAGTGTAAAGTGTTACTCGTGTGATTATGGTACCTTCATCTGCACTTGTGTAACATTTATAGTCTAGTTACCCATACTGCTGTTAATGTGTGCAGACAGCAGCAGAAACTGAGCTGCAACTGCAGCAATGGCTGCTGCTCAAGATGGCACCACTGAGCAACTGCTGACTGGACTGGTCTGTAGTTAGCAACTGAGTAGATGAAAACTTCAAAAAATAATAATAATAAAATAAAATAAAATAAAAAACAGTCTACCTGCCACAGTGTCCTCTAACCCTGAACTGCTAGTGTGTTTGTGACTTTGACTCAAATTTATTGAGGGGGAAGTGTTAACGGGAAAGCAGCTCAGTCAAAAGCATCCTCAAAAATTTGAAGGTTTTCACACCACTTTAAATTTGTTGTGTGAACGGACAAAAATGACATTGACTTATGCAAGGGTGGCTCCAAGTACTGTATGTGGGCCTTTGGAAAACATTTATTTTATCTGTGTGGTAACACCGCCCATATGGTTAGTGTTGGCAAAATTAATTACTTATTCCCCTAACTTAATGACTTTAATACCGTAACATAACTTATGATTACAGCTTCATTCTCATACCAACTTTATTCTCAACTTATGACTGCTTTATTCAGGAAACATCAAATATGTGTTTCTGATACATCACAACTTCATTCATTGAACATACTAACATTATTTTGTATTAGAAAATGTTATCCTGTTGCAGAACAACCTGCTTTTTGTAATACAAATATTCTATTTTTTGAAATAACGACTTAATTCTTGAAATCTTGATTCTTAGTTTTTCTTCAAAATGTGGTCCCATTGCTGCATTTTACTTTTAGGGGTTTTCCTTTTACAAATGTTCAATTCTGCAAAAATTTAGAAGTAGAACAAAATTTTATAAAAATTAAGTGAATTGAGCATTAGCATAAGCAAAACAAGCAACTGAAAAAAACAGCATCAACATGAAATGGAAAGTAACCAAAAAATGAAAAGGAAGAACAAAAATTAAATAAGAGCAAAAATGTTTAAGCTTTCGTAACCTTGATGTTGCAGCTTTTTTCTTGACATGTTTTTGTGCAGTGCTGTTTGGCCAAATGTTTACACATTTGTGTGTACGTATATATATATTTATATATACATAAAAAAAACCCATAAAAATACAACTTGTGTCAGGCTTTACGCTGATGATGACATACTGTTGTGTAGTATGGTTTTCATATTTAATTGGCGATTTAATGATAGTGCATCTGAAGGGATGTTATGGAGTATTATGTAAGTCAGGTAATTAATTTGTGTAACTTATACTGATGTAACTTTTCTATAAAAAGTAACTATTAGGTGTAATAATCTTCTTTTCTGAGTCACTACCCAAAGACTGATCACCAAACAAGTGGAGTCCACGGTCATTTCCCATCCCGGTGAGTCACATACTGTCTGTGAGTAAACAAGAGGACCATTGTTGCTTTATTATATGCTTATATGCTTTTATTAGAAATAAGACACATTCATCTTGTGCTCTGAAAACTGTACATTAACAAAGAGGCGACCCCAGTAAAATAAAAAGGGGAGTGAGAGGGGCTGGGCGGGGTGAGTGTAGCAGGGTGGGCAAGGATCAGAGGGGTCAGAGGTCAGGGTTTCGACAAATACAGATCTGAGGGAGTGACTGGCGGTGATATCAAAACACACACTGTTACATTGCGATACAGAACACGCGTATAGTCCAGTACCCTGAAAGGACAGGGGGGAGGGGATGGGAGGATCAGTATCAGAATAATCATGTTCATATTAATAATAATGAGAACAACTATCCCCAAGCACAGTAAGAAAGATATTTATAGGCTAAAATCCATTCTGTAGAACTCTGTTGAAATAATTACAATGCTGTACATCAGGACTCCAAGTGAGCCTTGTGCTTTCTCTGTGTGCAACCCTCTGATGAACTCCACCTCCATACATCAGGATCATCTTCATACTGTATATATTTATAGATCTACTCATTTATTCATCTTCATCGTCACACATACACGCACAAGAACCCTCTTCTTTAGCATCTCTGGTCATATTTTGCATTTACTGTACCAAGCCTGCTTGTAAATCCAAACAGCGTGAACGTAGCTCCTTCTGGACGCTCTGATGCTGACGTCCCTGTTTGCGGTATTGAGGTTGTGGGCTGGCAAAGGGGGCATAGCCCACCGGCACGCTTTCTGGCATCCTCTGAGGTGTCCGTTAGTGCCGTTTTGGCTCATGGCTCATGAGGCCTTATTTGTCACTGTGGGGCTGACTTTGCCCCACCTGGATCACGGAGGATAGAGCCAGCAGGAAAGAGGCGGGGTGAAAGGGGGAGGGAACGGCATTCTCAGGGCACGTGGGTGTACGTTTTGGCAGTCTGCCTCCTGAAACGCTTGTTGTTTTTCCCTTTTGAGATTGATATTGAAGATTTTTTTTTTTCCACAGGCATCTCAAGCCATGTACAACATCAGCGTTCATCAGGAGAAAGAGAGAGCAGAACAGTGAGGCAACGATACTCCCAACAGTTAAACAAACAAAAAAGACATAACCATGATTATTACAACGTATTCATTGATTGCAGGGGCAAACATTGCATGATTACCATTGCTATGCTGTTTATTATTTGACTATATGATACACATATAGCAGTTGATTCTGTTTCCCCATGTGAGGCGTTGGGTATCCGAGATCATATACAAAAAGATGACCAGCAGACAAAAACACCGTCCAAACATCAAAAGAAACGACACAGACAGAGACGCCATGTTCCCGCTCTCTTTTTAATCACTAAATTATTTTTCTGATATTTCGACTCTCCTCCCTCCGCCCTCCCCCTCTTGCTCTCACTCTCGCTGTGGGCTTCATCCAGCCTTCGGGCAGAAGTACTGAGCAGGGCAGTGTGTGTGGTGTGTCTGCTTGTTTGTCCGGAAAAAAATAAAACAGGAGGTTGTGGGTATGAAACTGGAAAATTTGGGTCACACCTCCGTCTGCAGGTCCATGATCTCCTGGCCCACCAACGGGATGGTGGCGCTGTTCTTCTCCCACTCCACCGTCTGTAGCTCCAGAGGGGAGGCCGCCACTGTCTCCAGGTCCTTCCTCACCCAGGATGGGGGGGAGTGGGTCTTCCTGATGCCCTCCCACGCCCTCTTACTTGGGGTCTGCTGCTTGTCCTAAAGAGAGGTGGACAAAAAAAGTTTAAAATCCATGACTTATTCCAGAAGACATATGGTGGACCTACTTTACCAGTCTGTCTGTTCTGCCTTTCTTTAAAGAATAATTAAACTTTTTAAATATGAAATTCTTAAGTTTCTACTTTCTCATACATCCGTGGATGCTGTTATTTCATTCAGTCTGCACTGATCTACTTCCTGAGATTAAAACTGGAGTAAATCTAACTTGAGCTTGCTGAAGGAACAAGTCCATCTTTTGAATCAACTTCTTATCCGTGTATCTTTTTTTCTTTGAATGATATCCAGCTACATGCAGAGCCAGACTTCTGCTGTGATTGTGGAAAGGCTGGATGCAGTGACACTGTGGTATGAGTCTGCACCCATATACAGTAACTGGGCTGATCTTCTAACTGAGGCAACTCTCACAATATTAGAATTTTACCTTGTGATCATTGAGGCTACCAAAATTTATGATAACCATATCATTAGGATATCTATATAAAACCTAAGAAAATAATAATAACAAATAAAAAGACTCTAATGCCAGGCAAAAGGCAATTGCAATTTCTGCAGAGTGACATGTATTTACTCTCGTCTTCTTGGGGCAGTGTCTGCAGTGAGGCTTCTCTAAAGGTCAGGCCCTGCTTTATTAGGCTGATTTAACTAAAATGTAATTACTGCTGCCCTCTTCTTGCATTACCTCCTTTACAATGTTCCCTTCCTGCATGATTATCTGGATAAGTCAGTACATTTACATGCAGTTCAGTGGAGCTCCATTAAACGTCCGTGTTTACATGCACTGGGTGAAAATCTTGCATTGGCATAAGTGTGTCTGCCTCAGCTACACTAGGTAGTGACATACCTCTAGTTCTTTACTGTCTGGTCATGACCTATATCAAACAGTCAGCAAAACACGTTAGCAACAGGCTAACTGGATGTAAGTCTACTGATGAAACTCAGTCCCTTTTACGGCTCTGTACTGTTTGTAGGATGGCAAGTTTCATTATTTTTATGTTCTTTCTTTTTTTTACCACCACCTGGCTTTCTGAAACACATCCATGCCATTTAACTTTCGTCTCAAAGCCTGGAGTGCAAACACTGGAGCACGCTCAGAATGCATAGGCCAGTTTGACTAAGCTGTATACTTGACAGAGAAAATTAACCTCGAGTCACATTATCCAGGAACGTTAGTCCTACTATAAGAAGTTTGATTTTGTGTGAATTCAGTCAAGTTGAGTTTTAGTTGGACTAAGGCAATAAATGTTTTTTTTTTAAAGAACATAAAAATGAACTGATAGGATTACTGCTCCTCTGTTTTGTACTATGTACTTCGCCGTGTATACAGTCATTTCCTCCAGTTAAATGTAACAAAGACTCAGGACATGGTCATTGATTTTAGAGAAACCCCACAGTCACCTCTCCTAGCCATAGTCAGCACACATTTGTGGAGATGGTTAAGTCTGTCATGTACTTGGGGATGTGAATGATTGAGACTTGATCTTTGACCTTAATGCATCCAAAGTTTAAAAAAGGACCAACAGAGACTGTATTTCCTGCACAGACAAAATTATTTTCCATGTTGATTTTATTTTATTTTACTTTATTAAGTTCAATTTACCTTTTTTTATTTTTTATACTTATCTTTTTTTATGGGGACCTTAAAAAACTTTTCTTTTTCAGAATTGTTTCAGCAGCCAGCAGGATAGTTGACATCCAGCATCTCTCCCTCTTTTTCACAGATCTTTGACATCTAAGTTGTGCAGAAGGCAAAGTTAATCTTGTCCAATTCTGACCTCCCACTCATGGGGGAATTTATCCCTCTCTCCTCTGGTCAGAGATATAGACTCCCCAGAGCAAGAAAAAATAGGTGCTCATGTTCTTTTGTTCCATGTGCAATCAATGCCCTTAACTTCACAGCTCGAGTGCATCGCTTTTGTCGGCTGAGCAAGGACTGTGATAAGTCAAATGGAAATTTCTTAAAGTAAAGATGTCTCCTCCTGTGAATGACCATAATGCCCCATATTACTCAGTCAGTTTACATATAAAAAGATGAGACTTCCTCTCATTCAAACAAACATTACACAGCTATAAAAGTGACAGTGTTTTTATAGTTCAACATACATCCTGTCAGCCTCTTGCTTACACACTTTGCCAACTGTGTGATAAATAAAATGTCAACTGGGAGACAACCTGATAGTAGCAAGCTGAAAGGGAGCATATCACTGCCTACTGTAGTAGAAAGACATGTTTATGTCAATGATTAGATTTTTTTGCACACAGGATGTAAACTGGACAGTAGTCCAGGTAAAACACCTTATCAGGCTATAACCACAGGCAAAACTATTCTCTTTTGCTCTATTGCTCTTTCCTGGGACCACAGGAGTCTAGTCTTGATCAAAGTTGGGATCATCTTCTCCTTCCCTGTACAAAAGAAGTTTATATTTGCAGCTAAAGGGCTGGAAGATTTTTTAAAAACTGTTTTTGTGAGTGGCTGATGAACTTTGTTGTGGATATGGAAGCTGAAAGCATGACGATGTAAACTATATTTGCATAATTTCTCTGTATACCATACAACTTCATCATTTTAATTAGCTGGGATGTTGAGATGGTGGTTTGGGGGCTGGCACTGTGATATAATATAAACAATGAATGAGTAAATCAATGAGTAAATAAATACATAAGTAAATAACAAGACCTTGGAAAATTTATGATTACTGATTATTACTTCATGGAAATGCAATCTGACCGAGAAGCGAAGGCAGAA